CGGCTTAATGCAACGGATCCAAGAGGTCATTCAAACGAGGTATATGGAATCTGCATTTGATGGTGATTTTATTGATAACTCGACTATCAATGCACATCCTTCATAATTCATTATTCTTAGGCACCATCAAGGTGTGGAGACCACACGGGATGTTATTCTCTCATCAAGCCTCTCACAATGAGATCCTATACCTATTACTGTAATTCCCCGTACTTTGTTGGTCTCATCTATAGGGAGGCTTGTTTGAAAACACACTTGAAGGGATGAGATCTATGGCATGCTAAATGTCCCTCAATGGTGGAAACTCCTCTGGAGAGCTATCAACCATCGCATTTTGAAAGCCATCTAGCAGTGGCTGTATATGCTATTATGGTATCTCAATTTTCTCCTCAGTTCTCTTTAACATGACTAAAGCCATTGTCACTGGACCCTTTTGTACGAAATGCATAAAGGAGGCTCGTTGGACTATCCTCTCCTCTGTGAAGTCTACTCCTCTCGAGTCCCTGATGAGCAAAAAAACTATGCATCTTTCATTCTTTTTGAACGAATAAGTGTCTTGAATCCGTCGTGCTTGGCGTTGCAGTTGAACTGCCACATCCTCCTCAATAAAATATGGCAAGTGTCCATGGGTATCACGCCTCACCTCGCTTACTTATGTATCTGGTCTCAAATAAAAGCTCAACGAAGCACAATTGGTCTACACATCTCATTTCTCTTTTTCATCCAACTAAGGGAATAGGGTTGAGGATACTTTTGTGTGGCCAAATTCAGTTTCTTTTCCATCAGAGTGGACATGGCATTCTCATAGCTTTCACCGCCAATAATTAGGCTATAGACCTTCCCTTTCACAGTGCACTGTCGGTCAACTTTTTTTCGATTAGATTAGATTTATTTGAAAAATATGATATATGAAAATAATTTTTGAGATTTAATTTAAATATAAAAGATATATAGTTTGGGTTTTGAAAGTAGTGTGTTTTAGTTTTTTTAAAAATGAGACCAAATGGATCTCATTCGTCCAATAGTTTGCATAATCGTGCCTGATACCGTGAATACTACACCCTCCCGAAAGATAAGTGTAGACCTCGGCGATAGACCCAATCCTGCAAATTAAGAGATTTGTGACATC